AAAAGAGTACTATTTAAAAAAAAAAAAAAAAAAAAAAAAAAAATATATATATATATATATATATATATAACTTGAATAGATCTCTCTATAATGATGTTTTCATTTTTTGAATGCTTTTCAATTTCTGAAAGGTATTTTTTGTGGGGCTTAAAGAAAAAACAAGGTCAGAGTTTGTAAAAAAAAAAAGTATTTGAAAAATGCTGGTATAACTAGTTTGCCATAATATGTATTATATTGTCTTAATCTTTTTATTTTTAGTAATAGTGGTATATATAAATCAGTAGTGAAAAAAATATGGTTTTAAAAAGTCGGTGTCGTGTAACCAGTATGCGGGAAGACATTTTTTGTTGTCATGTGACAAGAAAACCAGACAACCGAGAGGAAACCTTTTGACCCTCGTGAGTGCCTTTAAAAATATAACACATTCTAACAGATTTATGTAGAAGTACATTCTGTTTGGGTCAAATGGAGTTGACCTGAGAATTTTTTTTTTAATATTGAGTATACACTCTTAAAAATAAAGGTGCTTAAAAGGTTCTTCACAGCGATGCCATAGAAGAACCATTTTTGGTTCCACAAAGAACCATTTAGTCAAAGGTTCTTTAAAGAACCATCTCTTTCTTACCTTTTTATAATCTGAAGAACCTTCTTTTGCCACAAAGAACCTTTTGTGAAATAGAAAGGTTCTTCAGATGTTAAAGGTTCTTTATGGAACCATTTAGACAAAAAGGTTCTTCTATGGCATCGTGAAGCACCTTTATTTTTAAGAGTGTATGCAGGTGTATTCAAAGCACATGAAAAATATTTAGTGCATTTCACTTGATGGTTAAACTAGTTGACATTATTAAAATTAATACATCAAACTGTTTGTAGAAATTGGTATAAATGTTTTTGAAAAATGTAGGAAACCAACATGAATACAATGAATACATTTCTATGAACTTGTCACATGTCTTTAAACTACATTTTTTAAAATGCCTCCCTTTTTGTAATTTCGGACATCCTTATGGTTCAGTGATCCACATGTGTTTATTTGGGGTTAGTTGGACTCTCTCATGGCGGTTTGTAACTATTGGCAAATTGGTGGAAATCCGTAAGAATTTATACAATTCGAACATTTTCGTCCAATCTTTGTATGCTGCCTCTATTTGTGCATTTCTCTCTTTTTTGAATTTTACCATTAGGAAAAGCAGCTAGTCAAGTAAAATTATATTTGCTTCAACCTTTGCTTTTCTACATTTATGTATTGAGACCAGGTTTACAGAAAGGATGCATGTATTTTATAAGAATGACTCGTATAACCTGTGCTTGCGTTACCTTTCTCAAATGATTAATCTTCATAACGTCTTTTTCTGAGCTGAAGAGTTCAGGTTTCCAAGCCGTTGACTTTATTATAATAATGGACTAAAGCCAAACACACCTGCTGATTTGGTTCACCTGTGTAGCTTAGTGAGACAATATGGCAGTGGTATTATTGGTGAAAAGGCAAGTTAGAAATGTGTGTTTGTATGAGAGCAATAGGGAGAGATAGAGAGGCAGAGACGAGGTGAGCAGGTCAGCTCTCAACAGAACAAATGGAATAATGAGGAGCCCAGATGAAGATTCATCTTATGGTCGTTTCACTGATAAAGGAAAGGAAACTGGTATGATGGAAAAGTTAAAATGGATGCACCCTCCGAGCTCTGTGTACCCTCATAATGAAGAGGCTGCCCCAGATTTGTCCTATTCAAATACTATTTTCGCTCACTCTCTCTTGCTTTGGGTATGTGTGTGTTCTGCTTTCTTTGAGACAAGCCTCCCATTCAGTTCACTCAGGGGGGCTAATTGACGGGAATAGGAAAAACGGAGAGAAAGTGATTCCCTCACCATTCGATTAGCACAGGGTGCAGGGGCTGTTGCAATGTGCACAGGTAACACAAGATCTTGATTAGAATCTTTAACTTGTAATACAAATTCCAACCTAATAGAAATCATGTCAAAGGGTCAAGTAAATTCTATTGCTTAAATTAGACCAAGACAAAAAAACAAAAAAAACCCACCATAAAAGTAGTCCATAATAAAAATCTTCTAAATCTGCATGGTTTCCATATGAATTCCGAAAATAAATGCAGATTATTAGTGAATGTTGATTCAAATTTTAGTCTGTTCTTGACCGAAAACTGGCAGTTATGGAAAATCTGAAACATTCATGGACCAGTGTTGTTATTGTTATTGTAACTAAAACTATTAATCATTTTTAGTAAATGAAATAAATATAAAATTAAATATAAATACTAGATGCAAAACTTAGTTTAAAAACTTAACTTAAAAATGTTACCTTGGCAATTAACTGGAATAAATAAGTTTAAGTACTAAATTGGGTAAAAAAATAAATAAATAAATATTATTATTAAAAAATAAAACTAATAATAATGTCAAATGCCCATAACAAAATGACAAAAAATTTAAATAAAATGAAAATGAAAATTAATGATATAAAAATAAAAAGCAAATTTAAAATGTGAGTAAATACTATATTATATCAATAATAGCACTGACATGGACTACTTTCACAATGCTTTTATGATTCTTTTTGGTGGTTTTTATGGCACTTTTTTGTCCTTCTTGGAGCTTCACAGCCTCTAGCAACTGTAAATTGTTGAGATAAGGAAAAGTAGCTTCAAAAGTTCCTACGAAAGTTCCACTTTTGTGTTCCCTAGAAAAAAAAAAAGCAACAGCTCAGGGGTTTGAAACAATGTAAGGGTGAGTAAATAATGACACAATGTTACATTTTGGGTGAACTATCACTTTAACATTCTTTTGTTCAAATTATTATATATAAAATGTCCAATTTTAAGTGAAAACTAATGTTTACCTCTCATTGGTGTGCTTGTGTGTAATTGCAGTTTTGACGCTAGAGTGGATTGATCCACAGCTCAGTATGAAGATAATGATCAGTCTGTCGTTATGACTGGCAAACTGTTTTCTCTCAGACGTTTACTGTATTACTCATCAAAACACACAGCTTAAAATAGTGTGAATACAGCAGACATCATTCACACATGTAAAGTGTGTCACCTCAAATTACCTGTAGCACTACTTTATAATGTATGAAAAGTGAAGGAGAGTTATGTGAGGATGATGTTCATGGGGAAGGTGTAAGACGAGAAGAATAAAAGATGGAGGGAATTTTTTTTTATACCAATGCAAGACAGAAACATGACTATGAGATGGAGCAAGGGAAAGCAGAGGGGATTTCAGGAGAGGGAGAAAGAAGAAATGATGTTGAGAGAGGGAGAAAGAGGTGGCTGGAGGAAACAGTCACACAGCCATCACATGCAGTTGACACCAGCGTCTGTGGACACTATTAATAGCCCCTAACGTTCCTCTCTTTCCTCCCCTTTCTCTCTCTCTCTGAGCAACTGTTGCAGAAGAACACTGCTCTCTCTTTAGCTTATTTTGTCCGAAAGCTTCTTTTATTTTGGGGGGTAGGGTAGGACAAGGAAGTGAGAATCTCAAGAGAAGATAAAACCGTCAAATCCATTGGCCCTAAAAAGTATTTGGACAATTACACACTTAAACGTGACTGAATTTTTGTAAATTATACGGAGAAATGTTTCAAAATGATTCAAACTCGTTGTTCATGACTTGTAAGATTCACTTATTTTGGGAATTGGAATTCTCTTGTTACATTGTATGTTTTTGATTCACTAAAACACAGGCTCATAAAGGGCCCGTTCCCTTTAAGTTTTGTCATCTGCCACCTTAAAGGGTTAGTTCACCCAAAAATGAAAATTAGCCTGTGTTTTACTCGCCCTCAAAACATCCTAGGTGTATGTGACTTTCTTCTTTCAGACGAATCCAATCGGAATTACATAAAAAATTGTCCTGGCCCCTCCAAGCCTTTCAATGGGGGTAAGCGGATGTTGGTTGTCAACAGTTCAGATGACGTGAAATAAAGTGCGTGCATCCGTAATAAAACTTCCCTCACACGGCTCCGGGGGGTGAATAAAGGCCTCCTGTAGCGAATCCATGCATTTTTTGTAAGATAAATATCCATATTTCAAATGTAATAAACACTTTTTTCTCACTTCAGCTGACTGTCATACGCGGAAGACGTTCAGGCGGATGACGTAGTACGTAGGCGTCGTGCACGCGCCTCTGAGAAATGCAGGAGCAAAGGAAACAAAGTTTCCTTACTTTAGCAAAGGAAGATCAGTCTCCTCTTGGTTTATATCGAAATCCTCTGACATTTTTCTTTACAAATCCTCATTTTGTACTTCTAATTCGTGACCGGCGTTTTGTTTTGTTTTGCAAAACATTCGTC